TTTTGGGTATTTTTGTGCAATTTTTGTGTGTATTTTGTGGTGCTTTTGGGCAATTTTTGCGCCATTTTTGGCCGTTTTTTGCTTGAATTCTTTTGCTTTTTGACGGGATTTTTTCTGTGATTTTTGTGCAATTTTTGGGGTGAATTTTGGGTGGATTTTGGGTGGATTTTGGGCCATTCTGGCAGGTCCCTGACCTTGTTGTAGATGCAGCAGTTGGTGAACACGGTGTCGATATTTTGATGTCTATTTTTGGGGTTTTTTGGGTGTATTTTAAGGTGGATTTTAGGGTGTATTTTTGGCTAGATTTTGGATGTTTTTTGGGTGGATTTTGGGTGGATTTTGGGTGGATTTTTGGGTATTTTTGTGCAATTTTTGTGTGTATTTTGTGGTGCTTTTGGGCAATTTTTGCGCCATTTTTGGCCGTTTTTTGCTTGAATTCTTTTGCTTTTTGACGGGATTTTTTCTGTGATTTTTGTGCAATTTTTGGGGTGAATTTTGGGTGGATTTTGGGTGGATTTTGGGCCATTCTGGCAGGTCCCTGACCTTGTTGTAGATGCAGCAGTTGGTGAACACGGTGTCGATATTTTGATGTCTATTTTTGGGGTTTTTTGGGTGTATTTTAAGGTGGATTTTAGGGTGTATTTTTGGCTAGATTTTGGATGTTTTTTGGGTGGATTTTGGGTGGATTTTGGGTGGATTTTTGGGGTTTATAATGAGATTTTTGGGGTCACTCGGCAGAGCCCTCGTGCCTCCTCTTGGAGGGCGGCACCAGGCGCGGAATTCCTGATTTTGGGCGATTTTTGGGTGGATTTTGGGTGGATTTTTGGGCTATTTCTGGGCTATTTCTGGGTGGTTCCTGGGTGGGTTTTTAGGGGGTTTTTCAGCAATATTTCTGGGGTTTTTGGGGTCACTCTGCGGAGCCCTTGTGCCTCCTCTTGGAGGGCGGCACCAGGCACGGCGGCGTCCGTGAATCCCTGATTTTGGGGGATTTTTGGGCGGATTTTTGGGCTATTTCTGGGCTATTTCTGGGTGGTTCCTGGGTGGGTTTTTAGGGGGTTTTTCAGCGATATTTCTGGGGTTTTTGGGGTCACTCTGCGGAGCCCTTGTGCCTCCTCTTGGAGGGCGGCACCAGGCACGGCGGCGTCCGTGAATCCCTGATTTTGGGGGATTTTTGGGCGGATTTTTGGGCTATTTCTGGGGGATTTCTGGGTGGTTCCTGGGTGGGTTTTTAGGGGGTTTTTCAGCGATATTTCTGGGGTTTTTGGGGTCACTCTGCGGAGCCCTTGTGCCTCCTCTTGGAGGGCGGCACCAGGCGCGGAGTCCCTGATTTTGGGCGATTTCTGGGTGGATTTTCGGTTGATTTTTGGGCTATTTCTGGGGGATTTCTGGGTGGGTTTTTGGGGGTTTTTCAGCGATATTTCTGGGGTTTTTGGGGTCACTCGGCGGAGCCCTTGTGCCTCCTCTTGGAGGGCCGCAGCAGACGCGTTATTCCTGATTTTGGGGGATTTTTGGGTTGATTTTTGGGCTATTTCTGGGGGATTTCTGGGTGGGTTTTTGGGGGTTTTTCAGCGATATTTCTGGGGTTTTTGGGGTCACTCGGCGGAGCCCTTGTGCCTCCTCTTGGAGGGCGGCACCAGGCGCGGCGGCAGGTCGCTCGGCAGCCCGCGCCCCTCCAGCTTGGCCCCGATCAGGTGGCCGGCCAGCGCGAACTCCTCGTGGTCCAGCATGCCGTCCCTGTCCACGTCGCTGAGCTGCCAGATGCGGCCCAGCACCGAGCTGGGCAGGTTGCTGGCCACCATCCAGCCCTTGGCCCGCCGCCCGCTCAGCTTGCCCCCGCTGGGCGCCAGCCCGTAGAAGATCTCGTCGTATTTCGCCTTGTCCTTCATCACCACCCACTCCTCGTCGTCGCCCTCGCCGTCGTCGTCGTCGTCCTCCTCGGAGCCGGCGCCGAAGGGCCCCAGGGCGCCGTCGAAGGCTCCGCCGCGCACGCCGGGCTCGCCGGGGGCCTCCTCGGCCAGCAGCGGGCTCAGCGCGGGCAGGTCGCGGGCCAGCAGCTCCTCCAGGCCGGCCAGCAGCCGCCGCTTGGGCCGCGGCAGGCGGGACAGGTCCCGGGCCAGCAGCTGCTCCTGGGGGGCGTTGGGGACACGGGGGGAC